GTGTGACGTGACGTACGTTGTCTAGGGGTCGGTCCCCTCTGTACTAGCCACAGAACAATTTTACAAGGGTCTAGAACCCCTTTATTTCCAGCTCCTACAGAGCTGACTCTTGCTCCAAGTATCAACAAACAATTCAGGGTTTCAGGTTTTCTTATTTATTGGCTATGTGTGCCTATATGCCACTACACAAAACAGTTAAAGTTACACAAGTCCTCTTCCATCCGTAGAAAAACTCACTCCTTTATAAGACAAAAAAATCATACACACATCCACAGCACTCGCCACTGTTCACTCCTTCAAAAAACTCAACTCACACACGTGGTTTTTTCAGACACCGCACACCGGTCATACCTTGACCGAGAAAATTAAAAACTCGTGGGGCACACGGGGAAAATAAACTCACCCACGATTGGTCAAATTAACATTATAGAAGTTGACACAAAAAACTCACGCGATCTGACCGTGACAGGGGGGAAGTGGCAAAGTCATGGCCCAAACTGGGGGGGGGGGGCTTTCCCTAGCTACGCAAAGGAAGTAAGGTGCAGCTAAATTAAAATATTTCTAAAGCTAACACATACAATTGGGGAGAGTGTTAGACATAGAGAATTGAACTGAGGATCTGAAGGCGTGGTAAGTGAATGTTGCCGGCCTTTGCTCGACTGGGACTGCAGAAAGGCTAAGCATCAGTTCACACGATCAAGTTAGGCGTGGTAAGTGAATGTTGCAGGCCTTGGCTCGACTGGGATTGGAGAAAGGCTAAGCATCAGTTCACGCGATCAAGTTTCTTTCAAATTTTCCATTTGACGCAAATTTGCAGCCAATTTTAAAGGAATTTGATCGTGTGAGCTGATGCTAAGAAGAACAACCGCATGATGCTGAAGCAATGAATAAGTAAACAATGCCATCTTATTGATACAAAAAAATTTCAGAAAAAAACGGACGAGCTCAGCCTAATGAAAGTGCGTGGTGTTTGAAGTAGTCTATTTTATCGTTGAAAGTTGATACTTTTTATGTATAAACAAAATACAGCATCAACGACATTTTCTTAAGTTAATGTTTTTAAAAATTACCCCGTTTTGAAGGAAAAAGTATACCGTGTGGTTTACATTTCTTACCTACACAATAAAATGTGAAAAAGCAAAAACAAAAGAGATTTGTCAATTGCCTTGATTCAAAGTAACCATGGGCAGCGCGCTGCACGTTCTCGAAATATGTCGCAACGGTGCGCACTAACATATTTATTAGCAAGGTGCGCACCCAAATATTTGCATGGAGTGCACTTACAAACTCAAATTAATTGCCAATGATTTCATTTTTCAGCCGATATTGCATTGATGTGCGTAGATACGTTTTGTAATGACAACTAGCACACGGTTATAAGCCAGAAACAAACTGTTAACAACAACACGCTGTTAAGGCCACAAACACACTGATAAGAAAACATTAAGACACTGTTGAAACATCTAGCAGACTGATAAGTGCCATTCCCTTATGAACAGTACTGCTGTGCTCGATTGTCTCATGCTAATGTGACGGGTGAGCAGTTGGCTCGGAAAGTGGTACTTTTGCTTGAAAGCTCACCCGTACGTAGGAGACCCTTAGTCATGTTTTAGTGTCCTGGAGAGTTTGAGGGCGATCCTGCTTCTCTTTGCTGCGTGCTTTCTTTTTTGGCGTCTGTGGTGTGTTTACTCTTTGAGGATTGTGCTCCAAACAGTGAGTCCGCTTTGCCAGTTTGTGGGATCCATAGCAAGCGTTCCCCATACATTCAGGTTGTTTTCCCTTGAGAATTGAGGGGCTCTTTTTCAAGACCATCTTGTAAATTTATTTTAACGATGAGACCAGTTGATTGTTTAATGCTAAAATAAAAAGTAACATAATTTGGTTTCAGTACTAATATAAGATAAGATGAAAGAAGATTATTTTATTGATTCAAACAAATGAAAATGCTTTTTTATTGCATTGTACATTTTCAGCATATAAATAAAACAAGTTAAACACGAGACATCCACATTAAATTATTTGCCTATTGAAAAAAAATAATTAAAAATATGATTTTAGACTAAAATTTAATGTGTCTTCATATGCCCTCTGAAACTTTAGAAATTGTATCACAAGCATTAGTATGGGATAATTTTTATGGTCAGTTAAAGAAGAGCTCGTGGTGAATTTCATAGGGGTAGGAGGCTCCGTCTTCCCATGGGAAGGAGTTAAGTTTGACACCAAAAATTAAACTTAGTACAACCAAAGTTGAACAACCGTGATCGCCTATAACGACTCCCTGTTACAAAAAGTTAAACTATGAAGCAAGGGGCTATTAAATAAGTAAATAAGACTGCTGGAAGATGTTTCTAAGACTGCTGTAAGATGTTTCTAAGACTGCTGGAAGATGTTTCTAAGACAGCTGGAAGATGTTTCTAAGACTGCTGTAAGATGTTTCTAAGACTGCTGGAAAAAGTTTCTAAGACAGCTGGAAAATGTTTCTAATACTGCTGGAAAATGTTTCTAAGACAGCTGGAAAATGCTTTTAAGACTGCTAGAAGATGTTGCTAAGACTTCCGGCAGATGTCTAAGACTGTTGGCATATGTTTCCAAGAGTGCACAAGTAGTAGTATTTTTTTAATTTAAAATAAAAGTATTGTGGTTTTATTTTCATTGTTGACCAACTTTAATGTGAACACCGTTAGTTTTTACATAGGAAGATCATGACGTTATAGTGGAAAACTTCTTCTTCTTCTATATCTTAAGGGCCCACGATCAATTTATTGAGGATATGGACACAAATGTGTCTAGTGTTGTCGCATCAACCGTTCCTATTGAAAGATGGTTCCAGTCCCTGATTGTCTTGGGCAGGAATGAGCAACTCCTATACTGGCTTCTTGCTGGTATGAGCCTGAATTGCCTGTCATATCCTCGTCGCTGTCTATGGGGGGAGACGGACGAGTTTCTGTTTAATACCGGAACAGTGGACCAGCCCATTATTTATCTTGCACATCAAAACTTTCTTGTCGTACCTAATAGATCATGACTTACTGCATTAATCAATTAGGTATTTTTTAAGAGATGTCATTAACTTAACACGTAGACCAGATCTGTGCGTGACAATTGTTTGTTTGTTAGCTTTGCAATGACATGGCATTAGAGCAGGGTTCTCAAAATCAAATTATCCGGGGACCACAGGAGGTAGGGGCTGATTGAGACTGGGCCGCATCAAGTATTCCACACAAAAATGTGATTAAAAATTCATTAAATTATAACTGTTACAATCTGCTCAACGTTTATAAATAACTAATAAAAACATTAAGTGTTCTTGAGTTTCTTCCTCCTACTCATTGTGGCCAGAGATCTGGCAGCGCTTCTTTTTACACAGCTGAGCAACTTTGGTTTGAGTGAGAAAACAACCTCAGGTATAGCTTGAAGATGCTCATCAGTAAGTTTGGCCCTGAATTTCGACTTGTTAAAAGTCATAGTGTAAAAGAGATTTTCAGACTGATAGGTTCTCCCAAAAAGTTATATACGATTCGCTAAAACAACCTCAAAATCTCAGTGAAGGTGGACGGCAATTCTCAAATAAATTTTCCAAGCTTGTCTGTTTTCACATTCACCTCCCTGAATTTAGAATTGCACCTAATATCAAGAATTTGAAAGTAGCTCTGTGCGTTTTAAGCTGTAAAAGTATGATTCCATTCTTCCTGTAGCCTTGCAGTGGCGTCAATATACAGTTACTACTCAGTTACTACTGAATGGTGTGCCTGAGTTCATGAGTACTTTGCATGTTAAGAAATGGCACATGGAAATGTTTATCTGCACAAGTTTTGTGAAGAATGCCCTGACATTGTCATAGGCAACACTGACAACCTACCCTGGTCTTGTAATTTCTTGTTGAGTACATTCAGCTCCTGCGTAATGTCAACAAGAGAAGCCAAGTCCACGAGCCGTTTGGGATAACTTAGTACAGGAAAAACAATCCCACCCTTCTACTTGAAGTCTTTAAATGCTACAGGGCTTTCTAAAAATGGGAGGCAGGAGTAGGCTATACTAATGAATTATTGATGCAAAGTAAGTAGCTATTTTAGGGAGAGAGATTTTTTTTTTGTTTAATTGTAGAAAAGCCCTTTTTGACTAAACCTGTTTTGAAAGTGACCAAGATAACAAGCTCGGAATTTTCCTCACTCGTAAACAGTAGGGGTAATTTTAATAGAGATTTTTTGATACAGTATCTTTTTGCTATGATTTACACAGCTAAGGTTGTGCATTACCAACCAACTGACTTTTAAACACTTTTCTCAAAACCGCACTTTGGCCATGTTTGCAAGATGCTGTAAAATCAAAAGGTGTAGTCCGATTTTAAAACGGTTCTCAACAGTATAATCAACATACAGATAAAAACAAACATAACAAAAATCAGAATTAGACGAGTCGGTG